ATCTCTGGCCTGCGTGGGAGGACAGGAGCTGTGAGGCAGCTTGTGGGGTGACGTCTGCGCAGACAAGGAGTGCCAGGCCTGCCTCCCCTCCGCCCAGCTGGCCTTGCTCATCCTCCTGACAGCTCAGCAGCAAATCCGCAGAGAAACTTTGCTTGCTGAGCTGATCGACCTATCCCTCCCATCCTCTGCAGGGCCCTTGGGGCTCCCACCATCACCTTCTTCATCCCTTTAATCACCCCCCGGATGCCTTTTTACCCCTGAGCACGCAAAGAGCCAGCAAGGAGCTGCCAGCTCCCTTGAAGGTGCCAGCATGAGGAGGGCAAAGCCTGGCAAGAGATGCTCAGCCCCATGGAGACACCTGGTGCCATCACGTGCGGCACGGAGGGGACTGAGAGGCCGTGTGGAGGTGGCCAGCAGCGTGCTGGGGATGGCCACAAAGTCACGGGGACGGCTGTGATCCTGGACACCCTGTGCCGAGCAGCTTGCCTCCTGCCTCGTGACCAGCGTGCAGAAAATACCGCGGCCGCCTCCTTCGCCTGGTGCCTGCTGTCGGACAGCAAATGTCAGCGCCGCCGTGCCCGAGTGTTTATTTTGGCAGTGGCTGGAGGCCTGGCCAGCAGGCTGCAGGGACGTGGTGGGGCAGATCGGCTCCCACCACCTCCTGCTGAGGGTGCGGCCGGCCGGAGGGTGCTTTTCTCCATGCTTTGGGCTGCGTGGCATCGGGACCTTCATAAATACATGTGGGCATCGTTTTGGGTGCTGGTAGTGGAGGTTGAGGGCCTGCCCGTGGGTACCACCAGCCCTGGTGCCCCACCACTGGCTCTGGCCGATGCCCGAGGTCATTCCAGGCATTGCAGCCTGGCGGGGGTGGGAGGAAAATCACTGCCGAGGAGTGTCCTGTTCTCCTGACCTTTGCTCTCAAAATATTTAGGATCCCACAGCGTGCAGTCACAGGCCTTGTTCGGCTTCAGCGCAATGCCATTTGCCTCCCGTCTCAGCTGTCCCCAGTAATTCATCTCCGGCTTGCTGAGGTGGGGACGGGGCGGACGTGCTTGGGGCGGGCCGTGGGGCACTCTCCCAGGCCCTGTCCAATTCTCTTGGCCCTGTGTTCCCTGTGTGTCCCTGTGTCCCAGGCCCCCATCTCCAGGGACCAAGAGGAGCATCCCTGGCTGGGCAGTCCCCCATCCCTGGCAGGGATCTCACTTTCCTCACCGGCATCCTCCAAGCCGGAGGTGATGAAGGAGCCCAACCATGGTCATCAGACCAAACCCTGGTAAAGGCTTGGGCTTTAGTCATGAAGGAAGGTGTGTTTGGGGAGAGTTGGTGTAATCAGGAGAAGGAGAAAATGGAGGTGCCTGAGAGCCACAGAGAAGCAGTTCAAGGCACCAACATAGCCTAGATTTTTGGTCAAGGGCCTGGGCTGGTGGCCATGTGAGGCTGTGCTGCAGGTCATGCGTGTGCTGTAGCTCCCAGCCCATACAAATGACCCTGTGGGGGCTGAGCTCACAGTCAGGAGGTGGCATAAATTAAGGAGGATGCTCTTATCTCCTGGGGTGTCTGTAGATGGACAATCCTTGCTGCATCAGTTCCTACAGGTGTCTCTGGCCTCTTGGAAGAGAGAGCTGGTGGAGATGGCTGGCTGGAGCCTGGCGCCTTTGGAAGAGACCCCGTGAGGGTTTGGAAGGGGCAAAAACATCTTTTGGACTACCTCTGCTCTGACTCTATGTATGGCTTATTACACACGCTAAAATCTCAGGGCTGGTCATGCTTTTGCTCACTTTGGTTGAACATCCACTGTGTTCACAGAGGATTTTGCCATTCATATTCCACACAGGGAAAGAAGAATATGGGTTGCTTTGCTGAGCACAAACCACATGAGAGTGAGAACTTCAAATGAGACAAAGCCAGAGGGGATGTGTCCAGCACAGCCCACTGAGCCAGGCAGTCCAAACGGACCCCACAGTGAAGAAGTCCCTTTGGTGCTGCTTGCCAGGGGCTGAGAGTGGCAAAAATCCCACACTGTAGCACGTAGCACGATGACCTGAAGGTCTATGATGTTTTACATACCAAAAAAAAAATATTAAAGCTATTTTAAAATTATTTTTTATGAAACTATTTTAATATTAATTATATTATTGTATTTTTAATGAAATTAGAGTTGACTTTTTAATATGAAATGTGAAATCCCGGTAGTAATTCTTTTATTGGCCAGACCCTACATTTTCTCACCAAAAGGCACGTTTCAAAAGGTTTCCTAAAATAACAATAACTTCAGTTAATGATGAAAATAATAGAAGAGGGGACAGCTTCAAAGCATGTGAAGTGGAAAAAAGTCTGATTTTTTTTTCCAGGTGGATTTATTTCCATTTCCAATCAACTTTTGATCATTGAGCAATGGTGTTGCCTTGAGAGAAGGGAAAGCCCACGTCACCTGCAACACTGGTTTGGGTTTTCAGCTGGTGCAGGACAGCCCGTCTTCACAGGAACTTGTGCCAGGTTGCATGGAGGGGAGGTTGAACCCTGTACATTCGTGTGGTGTCTTCTCACCCCTGTTTCCTGCTGAAACCAGAAGCATTGCTCCTGCCCTGGACCAAGGAGCTGTGGCTGAATGGTGCTTGGTAGGAAGCCCTGTGGAGATAGAGTGAAGATCATAAGCAGATGACAAATGAATGTTGAAAGGTGAGGTTTGATGAGGGGAAGTGACTCATGGGTTGGGAATGGGGATGGGGTCCCGGGGAGGCTCGGCAGCTCCAGTGACCCCTGGCTGCAAGGAGTCGTGGGGCAGGGGGGAGAGGCCAAGCACTGAGGAATGAAACCAATGGTTGAGTCTGTGGAGAGTTATGAAAACCTAGAAGACAAGCCCAAAGCGGTCATGTGGAAACTGGAGGAATATCCAGCGTTTCCAAACTGTTTGTGCCGTTCTTCCTTCCCTTGGCTTTGATCAGTGTGAAGCAAGCAGAGATAGAGACCTGAGGGAAGCCAGTGAAGTTGATGCAATGCTTTCAAGCTGTGTTCGAGCTCCTGAGCCCACAGCTGCCGTGCTGCGCAGGGATGGGGCAGCAGCATTTCCCAAGCCGCTGTAACATAAAGGAACGGAGTAGTATGTTTTAAATAGTCTAGACGGCCTCAAATGAACCCTCTGATCTTCTCCTGCAAGAGCCACCAGAAGCCAGCAGAGCTGTCGTGTGTCTGCAGGCAGGGTGGATGCACTGGGGAGGGAGGCACAGATGCTGCCGGCACACATGTCCCACATTAAGCAATGCAAATCGGGGAGTGAGTCACCGACCCGTTTCTCCTCCCACCACACTCCAGTAGATGTGTGTGCAGCGCCTGTGTGCAGCGAGGCTCGGCGGATTTGCATTTGGTTGTAAATATGGCTATTTGGACCCCAGCTGCGCCTCAGCAAATGGTGCCTGAAATAACACAAGGAAGACCTCACGCCTGTAAAACAAGGCTGGCTCAGGGCTCAGGGAGCTGCTTGCAAAGGTGCTGTGGTGGCAGCAGGACACCAGGCCATGCACAAACCCCCTGGTGTCTGCTGCCCACTCCCAACCCCACTCCCTGCTGCCCACACCTCCTCGCATGCTCCACAGGGGCTGTGGCTCCCATGGCATCTTCACCGCTCTGAGATCAGGCAGAGAGCAAGTGCCAAAAGGCATCCTTGTCTTTCTCCACCTCCGGCAGCAGTGAGCTGTTCTGGGCCCTATTAAAGCTTAACATTGACACAGAAGAGAAATAATTAGCTCGGACAGGACGCGGCCTTCAGAGGGATGTAATGCTTATGAGGGAGCTGTGGAGAAAAGTGGCTTTTTCAGACAACCCATGGAAGGGTCAATGTACAGATATGTATGTTGGCAGTAGATGCCTGTTTTTGAAGGTAGATACAACTTTTATTTCACAAAATGAAGGATGGGCTGGAGCATTTGCTTCCTTGGGAGCATTGAGATGGAAACCCCGTTGGTGCCTGAGCTGAGGGGACACCAGAAGGAGAGGCTGCTCGGGGCTGTTCCCCCAGGGTTGGCCTTGAGGAGACGGAGCTGAAGGAGACCCCTTTGATCTCTTGGTCCTTCAGCCTTCATATTTAGTCAGTGCTTCTGGGGACAGAGGAGGCAGACCCCTGTTATTGGGAAGACGAAATTGTTCAGTGAGGTGTGGCAGGATGGAGGCAGACACCGATAAGCACAGCTTTCACTTATCCCTTCTGGGTGGAAAGCCCCCACAGACACCACACAGCCTGCCCGAGGCCTGGCTGGGCCTCAGCCGCCACGGAGCAATTTCCACGCTCGCTTCCAGGAGGCTTGAGGCCAACCTGGTTTAAACTCCGCGTGCTGAGGAGCTCAGCGGGGGATGACGACTCCAGCCAGGTAGGTTCGGCTCTTCCCATCTCTTCTGATAAATCTGCAGCCGTCGTGAGCTAAAACCGAGCGTCTGCAGACTGACAGGGGAATTTCTCTCCCGCTTTCCTAGACCAGCACTTGGACGAGGCTCTGCAGAACTTTTATCATGGATCCCACTGGGCATAATACTGAAGCCTTTATTTAATTGCTGCAGAAGTTGGCCTGGAGTCCTCTATTCCTTGAGTGCTGTCGAGACAAACGTCCCGGCCAAACCATCCGCCCAGGTCCCACCTAGGTGGGAGGCAGCAGCTGGGCCAAGCGCTGCAGGCGAAGCGCTGAGCAATTCGCCAGCATCCAGCCTGGCTTTGACCCTTACACAGAAAGCAGTAGGTGTGACTAGTTTGGACCACTGTACCTACAGGTTATTTAATGAACCTGAGCCCTGAAAAGTAACACTGCTCTAAAGCCGAGGCAGCAGTGCCCCTGACATTACCTAGCACAGCTTGGTGGCCACCCTCCCTGTAACTGTGTGTGTGCGCATATGTGTTAGGCCCACTCTGTCACAACAGACCCCACCAAGTCACAATAAACCCCACCAAGTCACAACAGACCCCACCCACAGGGGGCTTTCCTACAAATAGCCCTTTACATGCAGCACAAGGTGCTGGGCAGTGGGAGAGGATGGAGGTGTGTGTTCTGCTTGCAGGGGGAAAGAATAGGAAATTTAGGTTACTGGCAACTCCTGTGTGAGGTTTTCTCCTCTGTGTTCTCCAATTAGGAAAGAAATCTCCCTCCACAGCTTGGAAAATAATCTGTAATATTCACAAGCGCTGGATTTATTGATTGTAAAGTTAGAGGTGGTTTTGAGATTAGGGATCCTGACCTTGGATGTAGCTCTTCTAAGGCTGAGAATCCAGGCTGGTGTTTTAGCTGGAAAGCAAAAATTTTGAGTGAGCAATAACAATAAACAAGCTTAATGTTGGTTTGTTATGCCTCTGTCAGAAGAGTTTTAAATGTGGAGCCCTAATTGCAGAGAGAGACAGGTTAATAATGAGTATGTGAAGCTGGCTAGGGGATCACTTTAATTTTAAATTTGTTTTGGAAAATCTTATTTTTTTTGTGGAAGGAAAAAATGTTTTATTCACTTTCTGGAGCTATTTTTAATGGGGGACAGGGAAGGGAAGGCATGAGCTGTACTTTTTGTATATAACCAGTACTTACTTTCCCTGTACTAAAATGGTAGGGGAAAAAGGAGAGAAAAAAAGGTAATATCAGAAAACTATCTTCTCTCCCCTAGTCTGATTGATCAAAGTATTTACAAAAGCTTTTTTTTATGTTGTTTGTTTTTGTTTTCTTTGAGAATAAATACTGTTACTTTGTGAAATATATAGGATGAAAAAGTTTGTGTTTTGGTGAAATGGGACTTTTTAAAGATTTTAAGATTTGGCCAAATATCTGTAATTGCACTTTTATTTTTTTTTTTTTTTTGTGTGTGTGTGTTGAATTCACCTTGCATGCTCAGAAATCCTTCCATTACCTTTTTAAAACTCCAATATCTATTTTTTTAGGCAGAGCAATGGAGAGATGTTGCTGAAGAGGCTTGCCTTTTTCCTGATGATCCTCCAAACCTCCTATGCTGTAAGTCAGTGATGAAATAGTTGTAGTCTGGGGAAAGCTTTTAGTAATGAACATCAAAAAAAAAAAAAAAAAAAAAAGCAATGGGAAGGAGGCTGTAATTTTTCTTTTTCTTGGAGAAGGAAGACTTTTGTGGTCCAGTTGCCATACTGTCAGACAGAATTGATTTGCAAATGAAGGGTCTGAAACCTTAGCAGGAGCCTATTGCTACTCCTAGAGTTCATCCCATAATTTTCACTTTTCTTTTGTCTGCTTTATTGCTCAAGGGTAGGGCCAGGTGCCAGCAATATGACAGCACAGGGGTGAGCACTGCCAGCAGATCCATTTTAGGCTTAGTTATGAGTATCCCAGGTGAAAAGTGTTAGCTAACAGAATCTGCCTGAGGTGTCAACCCCCATCTCTAGGAGGACACTCCATCTGGGATGTCATTTGAGAAAGAGAAGAACCTGCCCTGGACTCCTCTACCCATTTCCAAAGATGTTGGCTGCAGCTTTTAAGCCTCCATTACCAGGGCAGTCCACTTTTCATGTACCCACCACTTTAGAAAGATGTTAGTGATGGTTGGGTGACTGGGACCTGGGTGGAGTGGAGCGTCTTGGGGAGTGTCTGATAACACCAGTGAGGTCCTAAAGCCAAGGCAGAAAAAAAGTCCAGCTTGAGCAGTGTTGTCTTCAGGAAAGCTTGGGAAAACCTCCAGATATCATGGACTCACAGGTGAGAAATATTTACTGTTCTTGTAGAGATGAGTCTAAAGTTGGAGCTGATTTTTGAAATGTTTTTATTGCTTTGTGGTGCTTCACACAACATTGTTGTGTTCATATTTGTTCCTTGATTACTTGTACTGTTTTTACAAATTAATTCTGCCTGAGTTCTTTGTAATACTGCTTAAGGTTAACTTTCTCCCTGTCTGATGAATGGGCCTCCTAGACCGGAGGACTGATGTGGTATGGATGGCAGTCACTTCTACTTATAGCGTCAAAGAATTTTAAGTGTTTTGAAGTGTGTTTTCCTCCAAACTACTTATTGGAAAGTGGATTGTTTGCTGAAAATGTTATCTTGTCTTGTTGTGTGGGCCTTCAAGTATGGCATTTGGAGGCCTTCTGGAAATAAGGGACTAGATAAATTTACTGGGTTGTCTGCTAAATTGTCCCATTTGCTAAGGTAGGCTTATGGGATCAGTAAGGCAGCAGAATCTGAGGCTTCACATGGAAGAAGCCTATTGAGCAACATATGTGGGTCTGACTTTCTTATAGTGGTCCAGGGTGGGGGAAATGTTTCTCAAGTCTATTTGTGTGTTTCTTACCCAGCCATGTTGTCTTAGGACAGGTGGGCTGATTTGCTACAGGTACTTCTCAGGGGGTGGTGAATGAGCTGTGAAGATCAGGTGTGGCTGGGATTGTAATCAAACACTAACTCAACAAGCTGTGTCCTATAAATCTGTGAAACTATGTTGAAAATATTCCCTTTCTCCTTGGAGAAGGATGTGCTTGCAGCATCTGATTTGTGGGAATTCTTCCTTCTGCATGGGCTCAAATGGAGATATTTCAGTGGGATATGCTTAGGCCTGGAAGAAATCTGAAATTGATTTTTTTGACTGATTTGTCTCTTTGGCAGGCTGCCAGGATCATAACCATTCAGCTTTAGGCCCCGTTTCTAGATGATTTGGGGGATTGTTTAGGGCTATGTTGTATTTTATTATATATTATAAGGAGGCATTTTTTGTGTAAACAGGTTGTACACTACAAGGCAGTGTTCCTAACAACCTCCTTGTCCTTTAGCTAGATGCTAAAACATGGATTAAAATCCTCACTGATTGAGTAAAAATCTTCCTGCAGTTATTTCTTGACCCTGCTTTGTCCTGGTGTCTGTTACCCATCTTTGGCCCAATCAAGGAGCTTCAGTACAGCAGCTGAAACCAGACTCTGTAAAATGCTGGAGTGGTATGTTCGACCTGGTGTTAATTACATGTGTCAGTGATATTTAAGTGGCAGAGAGAGGGCAGATGTGCCAAAGATCAAGTTTTGTTGGGCCAAGTTTCAGAAGCAAAACAGGGCACTGCTTTTATAAAGGGAATCTCTGGCAACTTCGGTACTGGATCTTGGAGACCAGAGCCCACAAAAATGGATGCTACTCAAGTTTGCTCTGATTTGATGCAGAAGGCAGCATTAGATCTGGAACAGGGGCTGGTGAAGTGGGGATCAGCACATTTCTGGTGTGCTTGGTTTTGGAGTGGAAGAGCTGAGATGATGCCTTGTATCTGGGCAGGATGTCTTCTGCTGGGAATGAGACCAACTGCTTTGTCATCTCTTGACCAGCTCTCTGGCATGTCAGCTACAGAGCTGCATCCTGGAAATATCCAGCTTAAACGGCAAGGCTGTTTCTGACCCGTTTCCTGAAATGTAAGAAAATTTTGCTACGGCAAAAGGAAATAAGGCTTTCCTGAGCAATGAATCTAGTGAAATCATTATCACTGCAACCTTTACAACTCCTGTGTCCTTGTGCCAAGCTGTGTCTCATTCCCCAATCTAATGATTTTCTGGGCAAGAATATGTACAAGATACATCTGTTTCTGAGCTGTTTGTGGTGTTTAGCTGGCACAAAGTCTTGGGGCTGACATGAATTTCCATGTTCATAGCACAGGAGAATTGTTTGCTTTCTCTTGAGAGATGTTAACTAGGCTTGCTTTCTTTTTCTCCTTTGCTTCTGCAAACAGCCCACCCAATTTACAACAGTTTTATAATAATAATAGGTCAAGGGGTAGAAGTGGGAGAATGTGTTCAGTATTTTTAGAGGAAGTGGAGAAATCAACAGAACTATTGCATCAGGTATTGTTAGTGTTAGCTCACAAGGTTGAAAAGAGTTAAATATCTTCAACTTAGGAAGAGGAGCGTGATATGACTGTTAGTATGTGAAGTGCCATCACCCAGAGAAAAATTCTTAATTTTCCTGAAAGGGGGGAAAAAAAAAAAGAAAAACAATGGCTGGATAGCAAACCAACTCAAAGTAAAACTATAGCACATTCCTTTTTTTTTTTTTTATTAACACAACACAAAACAACACAAAAACAAAACAAAAAAACAACTAACAAGGAACAAGCTGCAGAGGGAAATGGTGGAGTTTTCATCTTTAGTCTTAAAAAGCAGAATGCATGTTTCCTTAGATGTCCAGGCCAGTTGGAAGTTACTGGGCTCAGTGCAGGAGCTGGGTTCTGTTGTAGGTGTTATTCCAGAGGGTCTTGCTTGCCCCTTCACGTTCCTGAAATGCAACACAAAGCTTCACAGCCACATGCCATGTGAGGCAGGTTCTTGTACTGGCTGGTCTAATGATTCATATGACTTAATAACCCAAAAGCAGATACTGGGGCCTCATTCAGGGCTGCATCTATCTGAAAAAGGGGAGTTGGCAGTTGGGATTGCATTCTAAGAACTGGGGGTGTTTTAACAACCAGAGTGCTTTATTTTGCTATTTTCCTTCAAATATCAGAGTAATAAAGCTTTCCCCTGTAATGATGCCCAATGTATCTGGCAGGAGCTGAGTTGTTGATGAGCCAAGACCAATGCTCTCCACTGCCTCCTGCCTGGTGCTCTCAGTGTGGGCTCCTTGGTTCTGGATTTGTATGGCACCAATCCATGGATGAGGGTCTCTGCTGGAGTACTGGCAGGGTTAAAACTGTGCTGGGTTAGCACTGGCTGCTGTGGGGTCTGGTTTGCTTGAACATCTTGGGTTTTCTTTTAGTTTCCCTCCAGAGGTCTCTCTTCATCCTGTAGGCTCTTCACATCTTATTTTTCAGTTCAGTAATGAAGCTTGCATACAAAAATCTATCAGGAGAAAGAACATACTGTACAAGCCAGGTTCTTGCATTATTTCTCTGACTCTGCTGTGGTCCTGTGGCAGCTGTTGGCCTATGGAATACTTTTTAGTTGCTCCAGCATTGAAGCTAACCTACAGAGCTTAGTCTCATCTGGTTTCAGTGGGGTAGATGAGCTTGTTTGCTCTGCATCTTCTGTATAGCTTAAAGCTCTCCTAGATGCCTTGCTGACCACAAGTTCCTCCTAAAAATGGGACAGGACACCTTTTTGGCTGCCTTCAATCCATGGAAACTTTGCTGAGCTTTTCTGCAAAAGGGGAACAATGCAACCTCAACAGAGAAGTTAATTATAGCAATGGAAATTTTTCTTACAGACTTTCTGATGTGAGGCTGGTATTGCTTTTCAGCAGGATAGAAGTCTCAGAAATGCCACTTTTAATGAAAAATGTTTTAATGGCAAATACTTTCCACAATGTAATGGTTATTCTTGGGTTCGTCTGAATCCTATTGAACCTCTATTTTTTTTCAGTTATATGTAATATGGTTTGGCTCTTTTTGCTCTTGCTCAAATGCAGTCCTGGTTTAGGTGAGGCAGATGCCAGGGAAATCATGGGAACTGTGATGATTACAGAAATATTTTTTGTTGTACTTAGACAGTGATTTGCATTGAAATGCTGAATGAACTGAGGCAGTTCTGAAACTTTGACTCATGGATATTTGTTTCCTCTAACCCAGCTCCTCTAAAATCATAGGCCTTATTCTCCTCTCTATCTTAAGCTCCATTCAGTTTGAGATATTCCTGATTTATCTGGGCTTAAATACAGGAGAATTCTCCTAAGAATTGATCCAGTGGGCTGATGGTCAAAGAAGGACTGCCTTGGATGTCAGCAGCAGTATCATCTCACTCAGATACAATCCTGAAACAGGGTTCTGGCAACAACCTCTTTTCTTTTCCTTTTTTCTTCTGTAATGATGCTTATGAGAAGAAGGCAGAAGATTTCATGAATATCTGAGATCCCATCTGTTCTTACCCTGTTCTGTCTCTGGATGGAGTCTGAGCTGTGAGCTGTTTTCTGGGCTTGTGGTGCCAGACTTGCTGAGTTCCTCCACTTCTCTGGAGAACTGCAACTATGACCAGGGAGAGCTTAAGCTAGCTGGGAAGGTGTGAAGCAAGTTGTTAAGCAGGGTCATGGTGACAGATTGCCACTGGCACTAATAAAAGGAAAGGACTGATAATCTAGTGATATTTTTGAATACTGAAGCCATTTCTATGGGCTTAATAAATGGAGGAGGGATGGGAAGGGAGTGGAAAAATGACTGACCACAAATAATTCACCTGTAAACCTGCTAAATAATAATAATAATAAAAAAAACTTTTTAGGTCACTGCAATCTTCTCTTGGATCTCGTGCAATAGCATAGTCAAAGGTTAAAGGTTAAGGTTAAATACCATGGGCAGAGCTGATAAAGCTCCTCCAGCACCATGCTGTGCCCTGGCAGACACCTGCCTCTGTTACACCACAGGTAATAGAATGGGTGGGACTCTGCCTCTTGATGCCATGGTGACCATAAGTTTGAGTGGGGTGAAAAGGGGATTAGATATGCTCATGATGGACAAGCTCATCTATATCTGTTGGTCACTGAAACCTTTACCCTACAGGAAGTTTTCCAGAAAATTTTTGCACTTCAATGGACCTCTGCTCTTAAGTGCTGGGGTACCAGAAATTTGGGTAAAATAAGAGCTCTGAGGCAGCATCCTTTTGGGAGAGCTGAGGTCTCATCCCATAGCTGGTGTCTGGCTCCCAGCTGAGTTTCTCCTGCCTGCACCTCCTGAAGATCTAAGACCACTCTAATGGCATTGAGATCACCACCAGGTGTAAATGGAGGCTGCAATCCTTCCTGGCTGTGTTATTCCCCAGGGGAGGGTGCTTTTCACCATGTAGCTGTTCAAGATCTTTGGGCTGCCTCTCTTTCTGCTGTGCCTTGGAAGAAAGGAGATGGCCACCAGTGCCCAAAGAAATGTGCTCAGTTTCTAACTGCAGGAACAAATTTAGGGTGAATCACAGTTTCTGTGGCACTCCTGCAGGCAGGTGCTGAGATACTTCCTATAATGACCATCTTTCTGGGGACACAAATCAACTCTGCTTACTGTCTGAACAGTAAGGAGTCATGGAGCCTTCTCCAGCACCCATAAATATCAGAGGAGAATCAGCATCTTCAGCTATGTACCCACCCAGGCTAATACCATTTCTTGCAGCTGGAATTAATCATGGCATTAGGCAAACAACAAGAGTTCATTAGGACCAAAGGTGACTTTAATTTAATTGAAATATAACTTGGCAAGTAAAGAGGCAATCCAGTTCACAACACCTAATGGGAGGTCTGGGTTATATATGGAAAAGTTAATGGCCATAAAAATATCCAAACAACATATTTGTGCACGTGTTCCAGTAAAAGTCCGAGCCAACTACTTTTTAATGGTTTGGGTTTTCAAATGTATATATTAATGCTCTTAAAATAAGAATGAGACTATATGAGCACACACAGCATAGAAATATGAGGAGGGTGGGGGCGTGAGGGAGGGGAGCCTCATGGTGGGGACAGCATCACTGGAAGCCACTTTCCTCCTTGCGGTGGAGAGGCTGCTAAACCTCTTTGTTCCCCCAAAACTTGTGTCCGAGTAATGGATGTAGCAGCCTTGACCTTGCAGGTTGAGGAATAAAGCTTTTTTTTTTTTTTTTCTTTTCCTGTTTCTCGTGGTGGTTTGAGTAAAGGTGTGATACAAACGTACCTGAAAAGAATGTTAATGTGGCAGTTTCGTGTACTTGAGTTTCATACACAATTACGTGAACATATGAAATAAATGAAGAGATTTCAGATGATGATATTTTCATTCCCTTGTGAGCGACCACCCACAGCCCCCAAAATAATCATATTCAAATATTAATTAAATCAGGCAGCCTGTAAATCAGTGCAGCAATACAGCCCTTTTAACCTTCCCTCTCTCCTGTAGAAAAGACTCTTCCATTTCTGCATAAACACTGCCCCATAAATGGACTCCTACATAAAATATTATTTATATTTTAGTAGGTAAACATATGAGATTATGCACACATTGGCAGGCTGTGACATCATGGACCAGCCTGCAGAGTATGCAGCTTTATACCTATTTACTCGCCAGGTTTTTTGTAGAGAAGGGGCCATCTACGCTTTCATGGGGATGTAATCTGTATATCCAGTGGTGAATGTGAATCTGTTCTTTGAAAAAGGCCATTGAAAATAAGGCTAAAAACTCAGATTGTTCCCTTCCCAGTAGCATTTCTCCTTCCCCTGAATTTCTTGAGCATTTTGGTGAAAGGACCCATCTGATGGGTCGTGATGGAAGATCATTTTGTACTTGATTTCCCAGGGAACTGGCCAGTGCTGGTAGTCGATTGCAAATACCATGAAAGCTTTGGATACTTGATTCTTCAGTGCTGAGATAGAGAGGAGTAGGTGAAAGGGAAGTCTGAGATTATAGATGAGTTAAGAGTATGTAGTGGAAGGATATTTATATATAGAAGTTAAAGGAAAGGGGGAAGGGGAAAGAAAAGGCAGTGCAGAAGATGGAAAATAGAAAGGTCATGTAGGGCTTGGGGGACATTAGCTGAACTGCTTGCTTGGTGTGATCACTGGGCAGGTCGCTTGGGGTGTCCGTGCTGAAAGGGGACTGCTACAAGGTTCTAGGAGAGCACGCTGGCAGGCGCCGGGCAGGAACGCGTCTCTTGATGGCTCAGCTGAGATTTCCATCTGGTTTTGCTTAGTGCCTCTTGGGGCCTGCTCTGTCTTTTGGTGGCCTGTGTGCCTGTTTCTTGTTTCAGCTGTTTCTCTGATGGTTTTATCTCCATCTTTTGGGTTCTGGGCTGATAGGGAGAAGCTGGTCTTTGCACCAGTTGACTTGTGCTCTCAGCAGCGCTCACCTTGTAGCCGAGCTCGCTTTAAGCACTTCCTCTTCAGTGAAGCAGCTGTCTTGGAAACTTTACTGAAACCCACAGTTTGGGAAGAGGAAAATCAGAACGAGATAAATTGGCAAGTGAAAACCTGCTGTCACAGACAGGAGGTAGTGGACTTCCAAGTCCCAAGGCGTGGAGTGTGATTGAATGCTAATAGTGAACCCCTTTCATTAGCTCTGCGGGTAGATGAGAGATAAGAGCAGAAATGACCGCTAATCTTGGGTTTTAGCACAGAAAAGTCTGCCAAATACAGCATCCTTGTGCTGGAGCTGTCTCCAAAGGGCTCTCCCCAAAAGGGGGAGCTTTTAGCCCACTGCATGGCGTGTCCCCCCAACTGGCCAGCCTGCTTCACTCTGGAGACCCTGTTGGAAAAAAAATGTTTTGCACCTTGTGGATGTGCCCTGAAACTCAATCATCCTCTCTGGCATGTGGGGAAAAGGTGTGAAAGTAGCAATGCTTCACCAAGGAAGCTGTGGTTTGAGCAGCTTCTTATCAGAGCTTTGCTACCCCCTAAGACTTGTAAAATCTTCCCCCAGAGGAGGTCACCTGCCTGCCTTCTGTTGCAGGGAAAAGGAAGCACAAGGAGGTGAAAGGACTTCTGAGTTTTTCTGTAGGGGCTGGCAGGAGATCCCAACCCATGAGCCCTCCTGTCTGTCTGCTGCCTCAAAAGGCCAAAATGCCTAAAGAATTATTATTATTATTATTTTAACCAGTGATGGCATATTTGACCTTCCCCAGCACTTCTGGCATGTGGTGCCTTGACTAGTTTTGCAGGTGTGACTCTGATTTTGTGAAGCAATCCCGAAAGACTTTGGCTTTAGATGGGTAGGGAGCTGTCACCCCATGTGCAGGATGGTGGTTCTGTCACCCTCAGCCTGCTGTCACCACGTACCAACCCCAACTCTTGTTCCCTCTTCTGGCTGCTGCCTGGCACAGCCTGCTGGCCCCGTACTCCCTCCGAGCTCACCACCTGGCAATGGGGAGCAAGCAGAACAGCTGACCTGCACAAAACCTCTGTGGTGGGTGTGTTTGTTCAGCACTGAGGTGGCCTTGTGTTGGCTTGGTGCCCTTCAGCTTGGCTGAGAAGCCAGGCAAAATGAAAACGAGCCAGCTGGTCCTCTTCAGAAATCCCTTTAGAAGAGATCTAGGTGGTGCTCAGCCTGGCTCCCCTCCACCAGAGCTCCTTGGAGGCCCTCTCTCCACCAGCCCTCCGGCCGTCTGCAGCCTCCTTGGCTAAATCACTACATGTTTTCCCCCTCTGTTGGGCACAGAGGGCTGCAAGAGGCACTGCAGCCATGTGCAGGGATGGGGTGAGGGTCAAACTGAACAAGAACTGTGATGACAAATGCATCCAGGCTTTTCCATGGCTTCAACCTCAGCCTTCTCCCAAGAACCAGATGTGCCCATTGTTGCAAACTTATTTATGTCCAAACCCAGGGGCTTTCTGGGGGCCTTTGGGGATGCTCAAGCCCCAGCTCTTGCTCACGTGCTGGGGCTGAGTGTGTTTTCCCCAGCTTCTCCCTCCCTCGTTCCTCAGTTTGGACTTGTTCATTGCCATGCAAAGCCAGAGGTGCTGGCAAAAAAACGAGGAGTTGACGGGGCTCTTGTGGGCTTCTGTGCAAAAGCAGCATTTGTCACAAGGTAAACGAGGTAAACTAGTTCCTAATTAGTCTGCGCAAAGCGCCTAATGCCATAAATGTGGAGCGAGGGCTATAAATTCAGCCCACAGCTCGCAACGTGGTAATGCCCTGCATAGACAAGCCCCAAGTCACAATTCATTACAGCTCTGCTTCGTAGAGCCGGCGATGTTGTGCTTCCCTTTGCTGAGGGCAGATTGTCAAGCTGTGACCCTGCCTTAGTTAATTAACCTTCAAATGGGATTTATTTTCCCTTAGTTACTCGTGTGTGCACACATTTGGTAATAATGACCGTCCGCTTCCCTCGCATTTGCTAAAAGGGGAATAAGTCATTTGTTACAGTGTTTTACCAGGGGTAAAAAAAATAAAATAAAGTAAAAAATCCGGGCCTCAGCTTTCATGGAAAATTGATAGCTTTATGCCAGAAAGAGACAGTTCCATCACAGCCACTTCTTCAGCTGTCTGCAAATATTTGAAACCCTGAGATATTTAATGTTTTTCAGATGGCGATAAATCTGCAATAGCGCGGGCTCGCTTGAGCTTAGTGAGAGATGAAGTGAGATAGGAGAAAACGCATGAGCCAGCACGGGAGAGGTATTGCTGGTCACACTTCTGCCGATGTCAGGACAGGTTTTCAGGACCTTGCACATACCAGCTGGCTTCTTTGCCAGGGAGAAATATACACAAACACCGGCTTCCAGTTCATTTCCCATCCAGTTGTGAGCTAAATGTTTGCTTTTTTTCCTTCTCCCCCTGCTTTTTTTTTATTATTTTTGCGATCTGACATTAAAAATATGAACCTACAGCTGGGGAAGGAGAAATGTCACTGGCTGAAAGCTTTTTTGCATCTGGCAAGCCTGAGACATTGCTTGGGGTTTGTTTGCTTAACCTTTTGTTTGCTGTGTGGCAAGTTACAGAGGCATCGATTGCGCTTTTTTTTTTTTTTTTTTTTTTTCTTTAAAGGACTTAAAAATAGCCACAGCATCTCCGTGTGCTTTGCTTGCAGTGTTGCTCTGCCTGGGTAAGCCTTGGATATCTTTCCCCAGTACGCTGATGCACCTGATGTGTCCTGGGCTTGGTCTGTAGGGAAATGTGTGGGTCCAGGGATGGCACTGGGGTCCTGCTGAATTACAGATAGCAAACTGCAGTGGAGGCAGGTAGCACTGGGAGGTGGGAACATAAAAATTTGCCAACTTTTTCCTTTGGAATTAAGGAGTAAAATGGTCATTGCAGAAGATGTTTTGTTTGTTTGGGAAGAATGGAAGGACAGTCTGGTTTTCTGGTGCACCTCTCCTGCCAGGTGAAGGGGCTGTGGGTGATGCCTGTGGGGTTGTGTGTGGCTGTGAGCCCCTGCCCGGGAGGGCAGAGGGACGGGGCTGCATCTCGGGTTGGGTTTCTCACTTCCAGCCCACCACAGCTAAACCAAATCCCCCACCGCAGCTGCGATGCACTGATGGTTTTTGTCCAAGTGTCTGTTTATGAAGTTTTAAAGAGACAGAAACACCTCAGCAATTTGATTTTGGCAAACAGCTGTAAGCCAAGTGTGGAACAACAACAAAAAAAAATCCCTGTAAAAATCAGGGAAAATGCCTGCGAATTTCCACACATTTCACAGAGGCGGTGTGGTCTCGGAGGCAGCAGGGTGGTCTGGATGTTTTAGCACTGGCGTAGAAAACAGGCGCTCCTGCGCGCGAATGCCAGCTCCACCACCGATGTGCCGTGTAGCCTTGGCGAAGGCACCTGACCTTTCCATCTCTTGGTTTCTCTCTTCTCCCCTCTTACTTAAAAAATGAGAATTGGTGGCCCCAAAGCTGGGTGGTGGCCAGCCCGGGCTTGGCGCAGCCCAGGAAGGTGGGGCAAAGGTGGCTATGTTCCCGGGTTTCAGGGGCGGCCAGGACTGGAGCTGTTCCAGGAATAAAGAGCCTCGTTGACCTCAATGGAGGCCCCGATCCCGTAGCACAAGCTGTTAATGCTTAAGCTGCCTCCCACCTTCCCGCTGTGAGCATCCCGGAGAAAGGAAGAGGTTTTTCCAGGAGTTTGGGGTGCCGAATGGGATGTAGTTACCCAGGCAGCCTGATTTTTGGGCAAAGCCCAAGCGGCCTCCCCGCCCAGCCCTCACATATTCATACCTCTCCGAAATGTTCCCTTCTGGGCTGGGCTTTCCCAGGCTTTGTCTCTGGTCTGTGAGATTGAGTGGGAGGGAAACCCTTTTGGAAAGGAGTGAATTTTGGGCAGAGCTGCAGCGGCTAGAGTGGTGTTGAGGGCTGCTTTCAAAGAGGGGATGAATGGGAAGGAGCTGTGGGGAGAAGCAGGGGCTTGCTGGGCTGTGAGTTTGGGGACAGGGATGGGAATGCAACCCAGGCATCCTAGCTGGCAGCTGCCCTCCCTGGTGCCCTCCCCTGCCAGCCCTTGTGCTGACCATCCCGATCCATCTGCTGCTGAATGAGTGGAAAGGTTCCAGTGGGAATTGGTTCAGGCCCTTAAATTTTGAGTGTTCTGAGGACATCCAGGGCCTGCTGCCAAGTTCAGCAGAGATTTGTAAAAACGTGCAGTTTGCCATCACTTTTTTTGTCTTCTGCCATTTCAATAAAAGGATTAGGAATTTAGGTGAAACAAAGAGGGAGGAATAAAAATAGCTGGTAGATCAAGTGTCCTGAAGTTGGGGATATTTTCCAGCTGCCCCTTGCTTTCACTAGTTGAACGTTTTTTTCCTGTTTGTCCTGTGGGTGACCATGGCAAACCCACAAGCTGCTGGCTGGGGGCTGCGAGCAGGGACTGCTCTGCACTTACCCCATTGAGCCCATGAGCATCTCCAAGCGTCTGCAGGCAGGGAGCTGCTGGAGGTCTGAACCTGGTGCTTCCGGGGGTGTCCTGGCTCCTCGCAGGGTTTTACTGTGCCTTCATCCCCACTGTGGCCTTCCAGGAGGTGTCCTCTCCCTCTGCAGCATTTCCGCTGTGGAGGACGGGGCGAAGCATCCCCACAGAAAGCAACTGGAAATCAGAGCAGTTCAAGCTTGCGTCCAGAGCTGTTTTGGCAACCCAGAGTCCAAAGGATGTGAGAAGCTGTGTCCCACCTCTCTCTTCTCCCAGGCTCACCCCTATTAATGATTACTGTAGAGCAAACAGGGCATGTGACGTGGTTGTTAACGCTGCTCTTTTGGCTAAGATTGTCTCAGGTCAGGGTGCTACACTCCGGCATTGAAGTCTTTTTTTTTTTTTTTTTCTTTTTTTCCCTAATGTTGTTTTTATTCTGATGTATTTCTGGGCTTAATTTTCTTTCCTCCCATTATTCAGCTTAACAGGAACCTTGCCACAAGTCCTGCTGTCTCTGAGTGCTAGCTCCTGCCAGCTCTCTGCTAAAAGGTAAATAACTGGAGAGCTACCTAGCAGAACAGTCAATAAATACCGCATGCAGCCCTTCTGGAAACAAATATTGCCTCCCTAGACCCACCCAAATGTTGTTCTGCATAACTGGCTTAAAATGAAATAACTGAGTATCATCTTGAATATCATGACAGTATTCTTGCGGTAACAGTGGAAAGTTCTTGCCTGTTGGTTTCACAGTACAATCTTTGTGACTTGAATTTTAATAATCGTTGCTGTGCTGAGCAATCCAACACCTCCTTATTTCCCAGTTCATGCACTTAGCTTGCCGTCGTTTCACATTTTCTTGTAGCTGGTGGCTCTAGCGTAGTTGGGCAGAAAGCAGCGATGAGGTATTGCTTTGCAAAACGCTATTTTCACAGACCATAATATAATGCTTTTACTGACATTTTATGATATATTATCAAACACAATGGGAACCAAAATACTTTTGCCAAGGATTTAAATTCTTCTAATATGTTTTGTAGTGTTGTCGTTACTTTTCATCCTTTAATTCCTTTGTATCCAGATCCAACAAAGCACTTAAATAAAGCACTATGAGAGCTTTTGGACAGCCCATTTACCTGCTGCTGTCCCACTAACCCCATTTGGAAATTACAGCTCTGTCAGTAATGAAGCTTTTAGAGTAAACTTTGTGTTCCCTGTGATTTCTGTGGGGAATGGCTCCCTCCAACAGCCCTTTGGCTGAGACCTGAAACTGGGCTGTGGGGAGGCTCCAGATGCCTCTCTGGGAGGGGTATAGGGGTTTGCCGTGGGATGTTTTTTGGGGTCTGCAGACCCGCAGCTATGATCACTGTGGGGCTAGGACCTGATTGCTGGGATATCTGCAAGGGGATGAGGACTGTCACGTCTCTCTTGCCATAGCCTTGTCTCTTCCCAATTGCAGAAGAAAATTCCAAAACATCCAATATATTCTTGAAATGAGAAAGTGAATGGAGGTCCAGATTCTTGTGTAAACTTGTGCTCAGTGATGGGAACTCACCCTGGGACACTACTTTGGAGCCTGATTCACTCCCATATAACTCCTGATTCCTATACAACAGCTCTTAGCCTTTCAGTAGGTGTGCGTTCCTCATCTTGGCAATGGCTGTAACTCAGCAGCAAATGCATTTAAGAACTTGGTACCTCATTTCCCTTGGGTATAGGGGAAATCCTGCATCTCTGAAGTTCTGTAGGCTCGTTGCCTATTTTTGCCTTGAGTTAGTTCTCAAGAATTGGAAGGAGTGACTGAGCCTGGGAGCACTGCTAAGCTCTGCTGAAGGTCTGGGAACCTTGTGCTGGAGAGGGGCAGGAGCACGGCTCCCACCTGAAGGCCTGTCCTGCTGGGCTGGAGAGCCACTTCACTTTGGCGTGGGGCTGTGGAGCTCTGCTTAGGTTTCCTTGTCATAAATGAACTTCTTGGCTTCTTGTGCACATCCAAGTGAAGCGCAGGCAGGGCCATACATATATTTTGACAGCTTTTAATTATCATACCATAACTTTTTAAGTGTTATGACAATGTCGTGTAATCACGGGTCTCAGAAGACATATTCTTCTCCTTTTTAATGCTTTGGAACAAACTGATCTCTGGCCTAAACTCTCGGGTTAGCTGGAGTTGCACCGTTGATGGATTTGGACCCATGAGTTCAGCGGCTCCGGCAGGCTGTTTGCAAGAGTCAGGCTCTGGCAAGTGATCGACTCTGAGCTCAGTTGGAAAAGCTCATGAAATGAAATCACTGCGCTTTGCCCATTAGGCTTGGGATGAAAAGCGAGTCTTAGAGCTGCCAGTGGTTCATATTTCATGCACAGAGATTTACTTGTATTAAGATTGTGATGAGTTTGAGAGAGAAAGAGGGAGACAATTTGTAAGCCAATGCTGAAATAATACTTCCCTATAGTAAGTGTATAATGAGAATTGTTGCTTTTATTGGATTGAATCAGTTTAAGATTGTTTAAGATACGCAGGTCTTGAATTGTGAACTGTATCACTGGTGATTGACCTCCTGTGTGTTATTTTTACATCACTTATTTCTTGACATCCTGAGTTTGCTTCTGAGGCTTTCATTCCCATTCCTCTGTTCTTTTCCTTTCACACCTCTTCCCTTAATCTTTCCTACTCTGGCTTTGGAAGTCTCTTTCCTTTTAATGATCATCTAATATTTGTCATAGACAGCATACCCTTTCCACAAAGAGTCTGTAGACAGACTGTAGCATGTGTAAGCAAATTTGAGTTGTTTTTAATCAGAAAGCAATTTGGCCACAGTATCAAAGAGTCTTGGAGATCTTTGCTCATGTCACAGTTCAAGACACCTACACTGGTCATTTTAGAAGTATCCTTCATTTGCTTTGTGTGGTGGCTCAGGTCTTCTGGAGATTAGATCTTGAAGAAAAATTAATCTGTAATTTTGAGTCTAGCATGAAGATTGCACCACAGCTGTGTGTCCCAGTTCCACCTGGTTGTTGACAGATTTTCCATTAACCTGAAGGTCTTGGCTTTTGGATCCAGTGGTTGATCAACCTTTGTTGATCCAAAGGTAAATTAAACTCCTGACCAAAGAAGGCTGCCGATCTTGTGGGTCCCTTCCGGATCAAGTGAGCCTCTCTGCAGTAAGCAAGGGAGGAGAGCAGGAGAGATGATCTCATGCCCCTTGGTTTTGGATGTTACCTCTTTGGTATGGGATTTTTGTTTTCTATATTCTGCATTTGGTGACCTTGAGAACAAGTTACAGATCCTGCCTGCTTCTTTGGGAAACAGCAAATGTCTCCGCAGCGAGCTGGTTTCTGGTTTGGGCAGGTGGTTTAAGGTCTGTCTGAGAAATCAGGGAGTTGGGTGGCAGATCTGTTGGATCTGAAGGGCCTGATTTCCCTACGTAGGGCTGAGGAGCCACCTGTCTTCTGAACCATCCTCCAGCGCTCTCCACTGAGCAGCCACCAATATTGCTCACTCGTGTGGATGTGGGGGTGTGAGGATTGTAGCTATTTACCTATGCTTCCACTGGGCTTAAGGACAGATTGGGGGAATGGGGCTGTGAGCAGGGAAAGCCCAACCAACCGATAGCCCGGCCCTGCCAAACTTACATTTTAGCCCTGATCTGTCTTTCCCAATTCATTTTATGCATGCAGAAATAGCTAGGGAAGTCTGGAGGCAATGAACAGATGTGGTGGTCCAGAGGTTATGCAGAATTTTAGAACGAGATGGATGCATTAAAAAATGTGTTGACTCTTTCTGGAATTACATTGGCACTTGTGTCCTGTGTGGGTGCACTCATCTGTATCCGTGGTGGATGTACTGGTGATATGCACATACGTAGAGCATTAAGAGACCAGAAAGTTCCTCGAGTCTCATTTGCAGCAAGACTAGACATCAAACTGATTTTTAAAAAGGTTATATTGAAACTGCTGAAAATCTGTTGGAGACCTTTTGAGCGAAAACTGGGATCTCAACCAAGAGGATTTGTTTCCCCTGGGTGATTTCTGCTTTTCATCAGACTCTGATCATATAGTCTAGCTCTCTGCATACTTCCATTGTTCATTAAAACAGGTCAAGCATGGAACGTTTTTTTGCCCCAATACCTTTTGCCAGAATGTCTGTTTATGTATATATGTAAAAGAAAAGTTTATTATTTGTACCACCTCTCCCTTTTCCCCACTTGTGTGCGTAAAGCCTCTACAACACACCTTGTTCTGTGAGGCTGTCTTGAGGCAGGCTCATTGCTGTGCCCAGCAGCCACGGCAAGTGCAGGGAGCACAGCGGCGTCCCTCTTGCAGCATACCTCTGTGCCCCTTGAAGGCTTTGGAGAATGGTTAAGAAAATCCTTTGTAGGAGAAAGAGCAGGAGAGATGAGGATAAGGACTGCTGTGAAACAGTGTTTGACTGCAATGGGAGCAGCAAAGCCACACACTCGGATTTATTTTGGGTGCTGTGGAGGAGCCTGCGCCTGCTGTTGGTGTGAGCATCTGCACAGTGGGCACTGGGGTGCTGTACGGGGAGTGAGAATCCAGGTTCATCCCACCTGCCCTCAGCCCAGCAGGAGCTGGGCGCACCCAGCAGCGTGCTCGCAGAAGCCAGCATGAGGGGAGCGAGGGCCCAGGCCTGCCTTCAGCACCGCGGGCTGTGGGGTGGCACCCGCCCAGGGTGCATTGTCGGCTGCTGGTGTCCTGGGAGCGCTGCCAGCCAGCAGGCTGCTGCTGATGGGTGAAGACAACTCGTTGTCACAAACCAAACCCCCCGCAGGGAGCAGAGCTTACTGTCCCCAGGCACAAGGGACCGGGGTGTCACGAGGCAGGGCCCGTGGTGGCTTGCGCTTGGCTCTGCAGTCAGAAAGGCTGCAGCTGGTTAGCCCAGGAGGGGTTGGATGTCCTGGAGACTCCTGTCCTGCCCCATTCAGCCTGGCTGTAGCATTGTGCTGCGTCCACTGATGGACAGTTCAAGGTTAAAGTGAACGACATGGTCCTGTCATGCTTCTTGGGTCCAGGTGGCTTCTGAGCAGTTCAGGCCCTGATGTGATGGGGGCATCTCCTCCCCTCAGTCTGAGTCTGGAAGTAGGGTGGTCCCATGTGGACATCCCTGTTTTTTTTTTTTTTTTTTTTTTTTTTAGGTATATATCCTTCTAAGGAATCCACTTCACCTGCATCCACTGTAGGCTGCTTTCATACAAAGATCCCACCAGGAGTTTGGCACGGGTCAATCCTAAGCCCGTCACGTTGCCCTCACCTCTTGCCCCTCGCT